GGATGAGAATGGGGGGGGGGTCAGGAGACGGGCTGATGTGAACGCGGTAATTAAGATTCTTGTAAGATTCTCTCACAACACTCAGAGACTTACAGTCCGTTAGGGGCAGAACCAACTCGAAACAGCAAATAAATTTCTGTGCGGGTTTGAGGTCCTCAGGGCAATGACAGCGAAGCATACGGTTGTGACGCCGTGTAGTCTGGAGAGAACCCGACATTTGGGAGGAACATACCACCTCCATCTTGAATGTCGAAGAGTAATTAAGCAAGTGCAAGACGACCCTGATGATAGAGAAGTACACGGCATTGTAGCCCAGAATTCGTGTACGAACAGATATATGTATGATTCCTAGAGATGTGGCCAGAAGGGAGGTTGCGCCTGGGCGTCACATTTCGCCGCGAGCGGAGCTGCACGGTGATTCTGTTGTGGATAGAGACTGCTGCTGTCGGAGATCCACTGCGCATGGAAATGAGATGTGAAAAGGATCAGTGACCTCTGAGTTGTGACCCCTCGCAGTGGCACCTCCTTAAGGAGCTGTTCATTGACCCCAGTCGGGATACAGTGCACATCTTGCAACACCGCAGCGGGTTCTCTTGTGGAAACATCCTGAGCCAACTTTGCTGCTCTTCGGCCAGGCGCCAGTCAGAGAGGCCGTTACGGTTCCTGATTACGGCTGTAGGTGGCTCCCCCTTTTGTAGATTCAAACTGTCGTCTAATTGTCGCACACTGCAGTGTTGAATGACAGGATGATAGGTGAGCGTGACTCAGTAGAAATACTATCCTGATATGTCCTGGAGGGTTTGAGGAAAACCGCGAAAAATCTAACTCAGGATAAGTCGTGTCCCGGCCTAGATTCGAACCTTGTACCTCCCGAATACGAGTGTAAAGCGCTGCCGCTAGACCAGACCCTCTCTCGGTTGTATGGTCACGAAAATCACGAAGTTCATTACCGTATTCACAAGAGCCCATCGCTAGACATATGCCAAATGAACCCAGCCCACAAACGTTTTATCATGAACATTCGTTTTAATATTATTCTCGCACTTGGTAGTGAGCTGTTTCTTTCTGCGAACGATTTGATGGCGCCTGGCGAAGACTCGTCTGGGAGGGACACTGCGCAGGCGCCTGAAATGGTAACGGTAATGTTGCTGTGTTTAAGCAGTGAAATTAATACGTATATGGAGTGGAGGAATTGCTCGCAGTTCTTAAACACAGCGTTAGGTGGTGATAAGTGGTCAGTTTCACGCTCCTACCGCTTAACTCCGGGGGAAACATACCCTCATAACCTTTGCACGGGAGTCTGGGAGGGACCCAAAAGCCGGTCTGGACGATATGGATTCGGTCTCTCATCTCATAGCCTGGTCACTATACCAACTGAGCTTTCCTGGCTCTCACAATTATATTTGTGCCTAACATAAGCCGGATTGGAAGGAGGGGAAGCCCCTAAGCAACAAGTCAATTTCGGCCTGTTCTGACCGCCGTCAGGTCATTACGTTTATGTTGAATTACATGATGAAGATGGGCAAATTTCTCAACGTCATAAAATTAAAAGTTGTGCATATGTTTTGGGGCGAATGTACGGAAATATACACAGTGTGTCCAGGTTCTGTTAGGACTGTGTTCATTAAAAATACAAGATTTGAATTATTTTCAAATTTTCACTCTCTTTATTGAAAATAGTCTCCTTCTGAATCAATACATAGGTGGAATCGATTGAAAAGTTTTCGAAAACAGTCACTGTAATCCTTTTGTGGAATCGCATTTAAAACTGCGGTACATTCCCTTTGAATGTCCTGGATGGTGTCGTGACGGTCTCCTTTCATCGGCAACTTTTGGGAACAACCAGAAATCGGCTGGAGCCAAATCTGGCGAATATGGAGGATGATCAAGGACTGTGATCCCTTTTCTGGTCAAAAAATCGCGCACGATCTTCGATTTGTGAGGTGGGGCATTATCGTGGAGGAGCGACCAGGAACCTTGCTCTCGATATTCACGTCGAATTCGAAGAATTCTCGCCCACACACGATTGAGGACTCCGAGATAATAATCAGAATTCACTGTTTGACTTCCTGGCAGAAATTCCTAATGAATGATTTCTTTGGAATCAAAGAAAACGGTTAGCAGTGTCTTTACTCGACTCTTTTGCATGCGCACTTTCTTTGGTTTCGGCTGGCTTCTTTGGGCTGAACCAGGCTGCACTCTGCCAATTTGTGAGAGGCTTATATTGAAAACACCATGTCACGTCACCAGTAACAATGGATTTTGTAAATTTTGTTTCACTTTGGGCCGACCGTAACATGTCTTTGCAGTGTTCCACTCTGGCACGTTTTTCATTGCCTGACAGCGCGTGCGGTACAAAACGCGCACAGACCTTCCGTGTGCCCAAATCCTCGGTCAAAATTTGATGCACAGTACTTTTTGGTATTCCCAAAAGTTCTTCGATGAGTCTTGCAGAAACACATCTGTCTCATGCAAGGATTTCGGTCACTTTTTTTTTTCACATTTTCTTCAGTGCGACTTGTTCTCGGCTTTGATGCATGTGGAGCGTCTTCAGTGTCCTCCCTGCCGTCACGAAATACAGCACACCATCGAAAAATGTTCGAGCGACGCAAACAATCACTACCGTACACACTTTTCATCATTTCGTACGCTTCTCCGGCTGTTTTGCCTAACTTCAAACAAAATTTGATGTTGGCTCTCTGTTCAACCGCCATTTTCCGACGAGCGTCAGAACAGTACTGTTACATTCAAGGTCAGGACACATGATGCACGCTTTGAAATTATAGACAGCCACAGCTGAAATTTCAAGAATTTTAACCCTACAACTCGCCAACAAATGGCATTGCAGGGCAAAATTAAAAAAAAAGAATAGCCCTAACAGATCCTGGACACACCGTGTATGGACTTAACCTTGAGAGAAGAATATTGGATACAATTTTGTATGAAGTTGATAGCAGTGATATCCCCCGATAATTACTACAGACACTTTTAGCAACCTTCTTGTGAACTGGTACANAAAAATAGACTCCTTCCACTGATCAGGCAATTCTTCCTTATTCCAAATAGAAGTAACTAGCTTATGTATCTTAGAACGTAATATTTCACCTCCTGCTTGAATAAGTTCTGCCAGAATTTGATCACTACCTGGCGATTTATACCTTTTCAATTTTGCAATAACAATTTCAACCTCAAAAAGTCTGGGATCTGGTGCTAACGGCTCAGCTGTATATATTTCTGTCTGCTTAAAGTCACTGGCCGGTCACGGTAGCCGAGCGGTCTAAGGCATGTACTGTCTTCGCTCGCTTGGAAACCGGGATCGTGGGTTCGAATCCCACTCAGGACATGGATGTTTAGTTTGTGTGTGTGCGTTTTTCTGTGTTTGTGTACAGGTAGAGGCCTTGCGACGAGCTGATCACCCGCCCAAGGAGTCCTACCGAATGTGTAAGATCTAGAAAAACCGAAGTGAACGGAGAAGTTCATGGAGGTAGGCCTAGGCCCACGGGGGCTGTAGTGCCAAGGGGAAAAAAATCACTGACCCTATGTACATTCATTAACTGAGAGAGGTAGTTTTTCCACATATTCAAAATGTTGTGGGAATCTCCAAGCAGATCACCATGTAGGTTACCATTCTTGTATATCTGTATTTTGTTGTACGAATGTAAAGTTCTAATAATTCTGTAACACTGCAAATGTATTTTCGCACATTCGCCCCAAAACATGTACACAACTTTTAATTTTATGACGTTGAAAATTGGACCCATTTAATCATGTAATTCAGCATAAACATAATATATTTATTGTTTTTCTTCATGCACATCCGACGGTAGTCAGAACAGACCGAGACACGTAGTGGGACTGACATAATAGACTGACTAACGTACAGTTTTCACTTGATCTCAATAGTTTTATTATACAGTAATCAAACGTTGTTGTGTGACGGTATAAAAACACAACAGGATGCATAAAATAAAAAACAAGCCGTGACACGTAGCTGCAGGCTGACTTGTGCAAGCCCAGCTCTGCATGGCAGGTGGTCGGCCACGCGTGTAACTCGGCCCGAATTTGTACGGAACGGTAGTCGGTCGTATTAACTTAATACACGAAGAGATATTCAGGGTAGGTTGCACGCATGAGATAGAAGAGGACCGCATATTGGGTGCTGGTGACAAAGCCAGAAGTAGAGACCACTAGGAAGAACTAGCTGTAGGTGGGAGGATAATATTAAAATTACGAGATGATGTGGATTGGATTCATCTGACTTAGGATAGGGACCAATGGTGGGCTGTTGTGAACGCTGTACTGAACCTACTGGTTCCATGAAATGTTGGGAAATTCTTGAGTAGCAGAGGAACTGTTGTCTTCCTGGAGGAGGAGCCGGCTCCATGGAGTTTGTTAATTTGTTAGTTAATTAATACAAACTGAGCTAAAGGGGTTAGGCGTTGTTTTCCCACTGCAGATCCTCGACTTATTTCCGAGGTAGACTTCATCCGAGATTCATGACGGACGGAGCAGCACTGAAGCAGTTTTATCTCCAAGTTTCTTTATTTTCCCCATGAACATGCAACTCAATCATCCTCTCCCCTGAGGTAAACGATAGCCCTGACCAGGCAGCACAGTATCACTTCCTCGGGATTTACGTTGGGGGATTTACCTCTGACCCGGCATTTGGCTGGTTGCAGAGCGTGGAACGTAGTTTTATCATAAACTCTTGTGGGAGTGAGAACACCTGACCTCTGGGTTGCCCCCAAGAAATATTCCTGGAAGTATCGGTGCAGTGGTTGCTGTGCTTTGGGAGGGAGGAACGGATGCGCGCTGTAACGAAGGTCCTGAGTGACCCACGAGCAACCTCTAATCGTTGTATCTCAATCTGATGACGTCGGCCGGGCCGAAGTATGTGCGTGTTTCCCTAGCTTGAGCATCCATTCCTTACATTTGTTCTGGCTCCAGACGGTGGCACAGTGCTTTCCATTTGTTTCCCTAATGATCTATTGTTATTGCAGACAGAGAACGGCGGGGGCGGCGGCGCCGGTGGAGGACCGACCAAGCCTGGCGTGGGGTTCCACCACTCTCTATCGAGCACCGGTGGGCACGTAAGTTGGTCTCTTGACTTGTCATCGTCAAGCATCCTATCTCGAGCCTTAGCTTTGCTCAGAAGATTCTGACAGTTTGTATCCGCTTTTCACGTCTTTAGATTTCGCAACAGTATTTTTTTTTTACACAGCAAGGTCGCCAGCCTTGCGTCCAACTCTGAACCTGTAGGGCCAGGTCCCAGTATTTATGTTTTCCAGTGACAGGTTGGCCCATTTATACTCCCTGACTCTGGGTTAAGTTTTCTTCGCCTTCTACGACTCGCAGGCTACAGTGGAGGTATTCTAACTGGCCACCACTCGACGATCTTGACTTATCTCTCCCTGGAAGAACTTTGGAACCGAAATATGCTTTATGGCTCGGTCCGACTTCACGGGAAGGGCGTCTGACTCTTCCTGCCAGCTATGTCTCCACTGAACGTGACGGTATAGGGCCTATACGTAGACTGTGCGTGCTGCAGGGCCACTTCATCCACTACAAATCTAACATAGTTACTTGGGGGAATGAACCCAACCGTCTGAGATATAGGGGCAATCGAATCGCCCCACAATGTGGCAACGCTGTCTGTAAGTAAACTTAACAGATTACAACAACAGAACTCGTTCCATGCCCAACCCAAGCAGCACTTGACTAGAGGCGCCATGTTGAGACGGCGGCCTGCCGGATAGGGACATCCCCCCGATGCAGGTGAAAGGGGTATCGTCTGAAGCGCTTTAGCAACTGTGCTCGAAGACCGTGTAGCACGCATGAGCAAGATGAGAAACCCCTGTCACTGTTGTAGTAGGACAAACGGAAATTGAGATTTGAGAGATGCAGGTTTGGGTAAAAAGCATGGCCACCGTCAGCATCTGTTGCAAGGACAGGCCGCCTTACTTATATTTAAATCAATTAAGGCTACTTTTACTGATCGCCCTTTAGCCAGTCGGTATAGCGACTGGCTACGGGCTGGACGACCGATGGATTGGAGTTCGAGTCACTGTAGAGTAAAAAAGTCTCTTCTCCACACCGTCCATGCCGGCTCTAAGATTAACCCAGCCTGCTATCCAATGGGTATCGGGGGCTCTTTCACCAGAGGTAAAGCTGACCACTCACCTCCATCTAGTGCCAAGGTGAAGAAAAGATAGATCTATACATCCACTGCCCAATACGCCTTTATGACGTAGTGCTTAATTAGTTAAACGCAGGAACAACTTTACCTGTTTTTCAGCTACTGTGTGTTGTGGTGTTAATAGAGAAAGCAGCCATGCCCCGGACGAAAAGCGGGTACTTCTGCTTGTTAGTAGCAGTAGCATAGCTGAAGTTAAATTGCTGAATGGGCTAGGAGTAATTCGACTGAACAGCTGTCAGTCAGTGGGCGATGTTGTTGTTGTTGTGTGATTGTGCCTCTGGATTTTAATTCACAGCGGAAGCAACACCCAGAAAAACTTGGGTCTAGTCAAGGTGACCGGGTGCCCTGCCCATCGCCTTTTCCATTCATATTCCACAACAAACCAATAAGAAGGCTTTCTGATGCGCGCTGTGGCTATTCTTGCATGTTGTGACCCACTTCATGATCCGAGAATATAAGCAGGCTGGAAACGGCGTGCTCTGTAACGCAGTACAGAGACGCCCAACGACGTTCTTTGCGGTTTATTGAGCCTGATGATAATATGTGCTCAGCGATTAATGATGTACAGCATACATGGGTTCAAGTGAAGTCAATTTTATGTGTCACTATGACTGAAAATTGGAATTGCATGGTAACTTGTGCTTGAAGTCTCTCATGTCGAATTTTTAAAAATATTTGTATAGTAGTTTATGCGTTGACATTAAGTCACAGGCAGAAGGAAAGATGTGAGCTCCACTTCGTAAAAAAATGCCTAATAACACTGTGAATACAGCGTTCGATGTGTTCCATATGGTTCTCACAATAAACAGCGATTGTTTCCCTAAACAGCATCAATCTGTAACGGAGACGTAATGTGTTTCCTGTGAGGTACGAACTGAACTCTGCATTCTGCCCACACAGTGTATTTGTGTGTTCCGTATGGTTCTCACAATAAACAGCGATTATTTCCCTAAACAGCATTAACCGGTTGGGTTTTGTAGCGGAGACGTGATGTGTTTCCTCTGAGGTGCGGACTGAACTCTGCATTCTGCCCACACAGTGTATTTGTGTGTTCCATATGGTTCTCACAATAAACAGCGACTGTTTCCCTAAACAACATTACCCGGTTGGGCTCTGTAGCGGAGACGTAATATGTTTCCTGTGAGGTACGAACTGAACTCTTCCTTCTACCCACACAGTGTATTAAAACAATCCGATTATATGCTCTACCTATACCAGAAGGACAAGCGGGCATTGCCTGGGAACCTTCAAAATCGGGAGATATAGTTTCTTCCC